TGGGGCTTTTCTTTGCCATAACTGCACTGTATCTACTGTACATATGACGATAAAGCCTTTTAATCTCTGAATCCCCTCCCCTCAGGTCCTCCTGTTGTCCCCGCTCTGCGAGTCCCCGTCTCTGCTGTGTCTCTCGGACTCGCTGGGTGAGGAGACGGCCCTGGAGCTCATGTCCGTCTTCAACCAGTGTCCTCCCAAGTCGGTCCAGTTTCGCTGCCACCTCCTCCTGGCCCTCACCTCCGTCCTGGTCTGCACTTCCTGCGTAAACAACCGCTCCCGAGCGTCCCAAGACTTCCTGGACCTGCTCCTCCAGATATCCCAGGACTCCAATGACCTCCACGGAGACGTTGCTCTGCGGGCCACAGCTTGTGATTGTCTCCGGGAGATGGAGGCTTGTTCTCCGGGTCTCCTCTCCCAGCGACTGGAGCTCCTAGGTGGGCTCCGGCAGCGAGAAACGTCCCGGCTCCACCAGGCCTACGCGGGGCTCCACACCCTGGTGTTAAGGAACGCCATTTATCAGGTGGGAAGTAGTGGAGTTCAAATATTTTGTTACTGTACTTTTGTTAAGTACATTTTTCTGGTATCAGTACTTATTTTTCTGACGTGTTTTTACTTTTACTTCTTACATTTCTAACCCAAATATCTGTACTTTCTACTTCTTACATTTTGAACACAAATACCTGTACTTTCTACTTCTTACATGTTGAACACAAATACCTGTACTTTCTACGTCTTACATGTTGAACACAAATACCTGTACTTTCTACTTCTCTCATTTTCCAAACAGGCTGGTTCCTTTAGTTTGAATGTGTGTTTGGTGGCGTGATCATTATTATTTAGAGTCAACAGCTGCTAGTTATGGGTACCTTTTACTGAAGTACATTTTGAAGCCTCTTTACTTTGACTTGAGTAAAGAAGTTTAGTCAGTACTTCTACTTTTACCAGAGTATTTTTAAACACGAGTATCTGTACTTCTACTTGAGTAAAGGATGTGTGTACTTTTGCCATCTCTGACCAGACAAAAGGGAGGAAGTACACCTTCCCTTCTGTTCTTTATATTCTATCAAATCTTTTCCTCACGTGTCTCCTTCCTCTGATCTTCCACCATTGTGTCCTCGCCTTTTGTCAAACTACTTTTCCTTCAAATACTCTTGCAAAAATGTCGATAAGGAATATATGGAACAGCGATTCTAAAATGAGCCCACTGTTCTCCCCCTCATAATCAGAATTTGAATTAACTTTTTTGTTTTACTTTGCACTTTTAGAATTGTTCAGCTACTTTTTTACCACATGTTTCATTCTTAGCAGTTTCTGGGTGTGTGTTGGATTGGCAATAATGGGACTTTACCTCAGGTGGTTTAGTTTGCAGTACCTTTTGCAGATATCAAATTATCATGTTGGCCTTCTGACTATAATAAGCGCCCTGTAGTTAGCTTTAGCTGCTTTGGTATTTAAATTGCACATTTTGTTTGAGTGAGTTCAAAACTAATTTGGATTTAGAGTTGTTTTTCTAAGCTTAACTTTCCCCATCTCTCAGTGTAACACCTCAACTGCGTGGATTTTCTAAATCATACGCAAACAAGGAGGGAAGGAATCAGGGGAAATGTGTTGAAGGGGAACAATTGATGCTGTAGATTACACTTGTGACCAGAAGATAAAAAGGTTTAATCCTGTAATGGACGTAAAGGGGAATTATTTCATTAAGATATTATTAGAATTTACACAATAGGACCGATAGCAAGAGAGTATCCTCATGTTTTGGTTTGAATTAATTTGTGCAAGCAAATCCTGATTGGTTGTTTCCATTTGGGTGCATTGAAATCTTGTGAATTCAATATGGCATCACTGGAGGGAAGTAGGAAAACATGATTATTTTCTGTTCAGATTATTGTATCGTCCACTACTGTCAGTATATAGTGACAGTGTCAGATAAAACTTGATATTATGTTAAAACAGCAGCTGTTATATTTCAAAATATGTTGATATATGTTTGGCCTTAGTTGTTTTCCCCAAAACACATTGTTATGTTATGTTACAGTTCTGGAAGCACCATTATTTACTCACTTTTATAGCAATTAGAAACTAAGGAAGTTGAAAATCAAATGTTAAACATGTTAAATGTGGTATACTGTGAATACAAGTTGGGCTTTT